CGCTCTTTCCCGCTTCTGTGGAAGAATTAAATAAAATAAACTTAAGAAAAAGAATTGCTAGAAATTTCCAAAGATGCACAAATGAATAGATAACACCTGTTCACTCACTTATATCAATAATAAAGCATTGTATATTTAAAATTGCTGAGACACTAAATTTCAAATATTTACATCATAAAAATAGGTAAATATGTGAGATGACAAATATGCTAACTAGCTTCCTTGAATTATTCCACATCATATTTATAAATCATGTCAATTTGTATTCCACACACTTAAATAATTAGAAATTTCAATTTACAATTTAAAAATAATCCAATAGAATATCAGGATTTCTTTGAGCTATAAATGATAAGCCTGTCATTGAGTATTTATATATAGCATACTGTTTACCAGCTAATTAATTAGGCTGCTTTATATAATCTATTTCCTACTATTTAAACTATGTCTTTGTAAATGGCTAATCATATTCTCTTGCTAAGATGTTTGAATGTTGAATTGGAAAATGCTTGGTTGATTGAAAATATAAGACTACAGAATTTTTAGAGACTATGATAAGAAAAGCAGAAACAAAATTCTTCAAAATTTAAACATTAGTAATTGTAGCATCGTGTTTAAGGCTGAGTAACTTGACAGAGAATGGTTGATTCACCATAGGTATGGATCTACTGAACTGCACCCTTCTGTACTAGAAGCTCCTTACTAGGGCAAAGCAAACAGTGTCATAAAGCTCCATCTTATCTCTTCCAATGTTTAACTATGCTGGCTGCACTGCATGCTGTTGGCTCTCACTCAAGGACTCCAATCACACTGGAAAATTTACTTTTCTTTCTTTCTTTTTTTTTTCCCCTTGCCGTGTGCAGGGGGATATTCAGGCATATTCTGTGCCTGAATATGTCAACTTCAAGTAATCAATGGAGAATATTAGACTTTGTGAGTATTCAGAGAGGAAATGGTTGGTATGTACTGTGAAGGATATAGCATGGATTCCCACTATTTCTGGACTTGATACGTCTCTTTCTTCTTGCTTGTTTTATTTATTTAGTTATTTCTTTCCCCAGATGACACGTTTTTCCTATAGCTCAAATGAGGAAAGATTTCTCTAACAGTGTAAATAGATTTGATTTTGACCTACAGTAAATTTATAATGATACTGCTCTTCATTATCAGACGGACAGGGAGATGTAGGTGGAACAGATTGTTATAGAACCATTTCAAGATTTAATGCTCAGTATCCTTTAAAACAAAAACACAAACATTTAAATTGGTAGGACAATACCCTTCCTAGACTTTTTCTTTTCAAGTCAGTCAATGTGGTTGAGGGCTCTCAAAGGACTAGCAATGACATACTTGTCTTCCAGAGTCACTTGTCCTGAACCACAGGTGACTGATAAAAATGGAAGAAAATTGAGCACACGAACTCATATATTTGTGATTTGTTAATGTGCACAATTTTTTTTGAAGTATCTATTATTGTTTTAAATATTTCAAGTGAGGAAATCAAGGCTCAAAGCAATTAGGTAATTTACTCAAGATTACAAAGATAGGAGCATCCAGGGCCATCCTTGTCTTAAAAATGCAAGTTATTGGCGCTGAGAGACAGACACAGCCTAGGATTGTTTGATAGGATGGGACAAAAGTAGAATCAGGGACCCATTTTCCTTTTTTCTATTCCCAAGTTGCCTGTGTCTCTCTCCTGTTTTTCCCTTTTGCCCTACTTTGCAATCACATATATTTTTCTTTCTTTCTTTACTTGAGCATGACCACAAAGGTGAGTTCAATGTGGCCTTTAAGTAAAGTGGGAAAAACATTTTAAAAGTGCATTCCCTATGCTGCAATGAACTGCTCTTTTGTTCTTTGCCGAATGGAATGTCAATCTTGAGTACATCTTCTTACGTTGACTTTTACATGCACTCATAACATTTAAAGTTGACATACACTTTCCTCACTTCATTTATTCCTGTTTTAAAGTGTATTTATTTGTTTATTCCATGAGTGCAGGAGGTGAAAGAAAGAGAATGAATACTTAATTCCACCGTTAGCTTCAGAGAGCTCTGGACCATGGGCACAGGAGTGCTAGCATACTCAGGAGGTCTCTGGATGCACTTACAACCTTTCCAGGTAGGTTGGCCTCACAGAGCGTGGTTCTGTGACTGTATTACTACCCCCACCCCTCCGGCCCTTTCTTTCACTCTCTATGGGAAACGTTTTTGAATGCTCACTACATCCTGATCCCATGCCAAGCCCTGGGAGTAACAGATGAACACCTCCTGATTCAAGATCTTCCCAATGCACAAGAGAATTTCATCCCATTCGCTTTCTTGAGGTAGATGGAGCATCAGTTACCACTTAATTCTATAGATTATGGAGAGAGGCTGCTGGAGGCTGGAGTAACTTGATCAAGGAAGTGCAACTAATAAGTAGTAGATCCAGGACTAAGCCAAGTCTGCCTTCTGAGACCAAATCCACAGGCTTTTCAGCAAACCAGAGAAATGTCCTGATTTTGGATTTCAGATCAACTAACTGACTGACTGACTAATCATATAAATAACTAACTACATGGATACACCAAGAAAGAAAACTTTGGACCAGCAGAAAATAACGAACTTTTTCTTGATATGAGACCATTAATAAGCACACCACACTTCCCCTAAAAAGTGACCACCCCTTTTCACAACTGTTTCAAATTATATTTTTCTTTTCTTTTTTCTTTCATCTTTTCTTTTCTCTTCTCTTTTCTTTTTTTTTTAGAGAGGTTTTTGCTATAGGGCACGTGCGCTCACCAGACAGACAGAGAGAGAGAGAGTCAGAAAGTGAGAAATCACCCCCCAGGGAGGATGGCCACGCAGCAATCCCTTCTCCTCTATTTTCCTCTCAGATCTTGGGCACACATGCACACACGCCTGGTGTGAGTTTAAGCCACCAGGTCCGGGACTCGAACTGCAATTTACTATATTGGAGTCCAGCAACATAGCCATTACACTAACTGCTGGTCCCAAAAAGAAATCATATTTTGAAAAAAAGAAAGGAAAAAGGAGAACTACTCAGCACAAAAGACCAGTTTTGAATTGGAATAATTTATATTTATAAAAATTCTCACTTACCAAGCCCCTACTTTTCTTATTTTGTCAATATATAGGTAAGTTAACCTCAGAAAAAGAAAGGACCAGCAAATTTAAAGATTGTAGGCTCAAACTGGAGCAAGAATAATAATAGGTACAGTGGGGTTTGTGTTTCTCTCCCTGAAGCAAGTGTTTGCTTAGGAAAGCCTTTCTGCCTTCATTAGTAAATGAGGTAGAATTTACAATTCACAAGGCTTTTTTGGTTCACAGGAGACAAAATTTAGAAAAAGCTTTTTCTTCTCTTTATATTTCCTGATGCCCATCAGTCATTTACATTTTATCATAATAAATAGTTTAAAATGATTTGCTAAACAAATAATCACTCCAGGGAAGGAAATTGATTTGGGCACAATGCCTCACTTTGCTAATCATCTTCTTGTGTTTAGATGTCAGCCCTGATGGAGTGACTCAACCCTGCCAGGACCCCATTTACTGAATATGGTAATGGTTCATGCAAAGCTAGTGATCAGATTTTTTTTTTCTAGCACACTGAGGTGAAGGGACATAAGAAATAAAATGAAAATAAATAAATAAATAAAAATAAAATTTAGATAAGGAAACAATTTGACAAAATCAACCAAGGTACAATCTACCATAAAATCATAGAAACTTGGGACCAGCAGTTTGTGTAATGGCTATGTTGCTGGACTCCCATGTAGTTGACCACAGTTCGAGTCCCGGACCCAGTGACTTAAACTCACGCTGGGCGCATGTGCATGCGTGCCCAAGATCCCGAGGGGAGAATGGAGGATTGCGGCATGGCCATCTCCCCTGGAGGGGGGTGATTTCTCGCTTTCTATCTCTCTGTCTTTCTGGTGAGCACACGCTCCCTATAGCAAAAACCTCTAAAAGAAAAAATCACGGAAACTTAAAAAATACCAGCATGATAAATGATAAAGAGAAGTTGAACTATTCTGGACTAAAGGAGATTTATAGGATTTGACAATTAAATGCCATAAAAAGTCCTGGGACAATTAGCAAAACTAGAATAAGTATACAGATACTATCCATATATATTTAGACAATGGCATTATGTCATTGTTAAGTTTCCTGATAATTGTAGTGTGGTTAAAACAACAAGGAATGTCTTTGTCCTTAGAAAATGCACACGAATGTATTTATGAGTAAAGTTCATGATGTCTGCAATTTCCTTTCAAATAGTCCAACAGTGCTACTACTTACTAT